TGGGTAGAGTAATCTATGTTGTAGGTTTTTCCCCTTCATCACTTTATATATGTCCTGCCACTCCCTACTGGCTTGCAGAGTTTCTGCTGAAAGATCAGCTGTTAACCTTATGTGGATTCCCTTTTGCATTATTTGTTGTTTTTCCCTTGCTGCTTTTAATATGTTTTCTTTTATTTAATTTTTGACAGTTTGATTAATATGTGTCTTGGCGTGTTTCTCCTTGAATTTATCCTGTATGGGACTCTCTGTGCTTCCTGGACTTGATTAACTATTTCCTTGCTCATATTAGTGAAGTTTTCAACTATAATCTCTTCACATATTTTCCCAGTCCGTTTCTTTTTCTATTCTTCTTCTGGGACCCCTATAATTCGAATGTTGGTGAGTTTAATGTTGTCCCAGAAGTCTCTGAGACTGTCCTCAATTCTTTTCATTCTTTTTTCTTTATTCTGCTCTGCAGTAGCTATTTCCACTACTTTACCTTCCAGGTCACTTATCCATTCTTCTGCCTCAGTTATTCTGCTATTGATCCCTTCTAGAGTATTTTTAATTTCATTTTTTGTGTTGTTAATCGTTGCTTGTTTCCTGCTTAGTTCTTCTAGGTCCTTGTTAAACGTTTCTTGTATTTTTTCCATTCTATTTCCGAGAGTTTGGATCGTCTTTACTATCATTATTCGGAATTCTTTTTCAGGTAGACTGCCTATTTCCTCTTCATTTGTTAGGTCTAGTGTGTTTTTACCTTGCTCCTTCATCTGCAGTGTGTTTCTCTCTCTTCTCATTTTGCTTAACTTACTGTGTTTGGGGTCTCATTTTCGCAGGCTACAGGTTCGTAGTTCCCGTTGTTTTTGGTGTCTGTCCCCAGTGGCTAAGGTTGGTTCAGTGGGTTGTGTAAGCGTCCTGGTTGAGGGGACTAGTGCCTGTGTTCTGGTGGATGAGGCTGGATCTTGTCTTTCTGGTGCGCAGGTCCACGTCTGGTGGTGTGTTTTGGGGTGTCTGTGGCCTTATGATGATTTTAGGCAGCCTCTCTGCTAATGGGTGGGGGTGTGTTCCTGTCCTGCTAGTTGTTTGGCATAGGGTGTCGAGCACTGTAGCTTGCTGGTCATTGAGTGGAGCTGGGTCTTGGCGTTGAGATGGAGATCTCTGGGAGATTTTCACCATTTGATATTACATGGAGCTGGGCGGTCTCTTGTGGACCAGTGTCCTGAACTTGGCTCTCCCACCTCAGAGGCACAGCCCTGATGCCTGGCTGGAGCACCAAGAGCCTGTCATACACACAGCTCAGACCAGGTACGTGGGGAGTTTCTTGCCTTTTGGGAGGTCTGAGTTCTTCTGCCAGCGTTCAGTAGGTGTTCTGTAGGAGTTGTTACACATGTAGATGTATTTCTGATGTATTTGTGGGGAGGAACGTGATCTCCACGTCTTACTCCTCCACCATCTTGAAGCTCCTCTCTCTCCTTGTGGTTTTGATTTGTATTTCCCTAATGGCCAATGATGTTGAGCATCTTTTCATATGCTTATTAACCATTTTTATATCTTCTTTTGAGAAGTGTCTTTTCAAGTTCTTTGCACATTTAAAAAATCAGGTTGTTTATTTTTTTGTTGTTCAGTTATAGGAGTTCTTTATATATTCTAGATATTAACCCCTTATCAGATATATGGTTTGCAAATATTTTCTCCTATTTTGTGGGTTACCTTTTCATTCTGTTGATAGTGTCCTTTGATGCAGAAAAGTTTTAAATTTTTATGTAGTCCAGTTTATCTTTTGTTGTTGTTGTTTTTATTGCCTTTGCTTTTGTGTCATATCCAAGAATTCATTATTAAATGCAGTGTCATGAAGGTTTCTCCCTGTGTTTTCTTCTAAGAATCTATAATTTAGCTCTTACCCACCCGGGGTTCTTCTTAGGTTCAACTAAACAGCAGGTATACAGCTGATTAGGTATACAGCAGGTATACAGTAGAGCAGGATCAGATATTCCTCTTCAGCAGGAGCAGTCCTCACAGAAGTCCATGTAGTAGCTTATATAGCAGTCTGGGGACAGCTCAGATACAAGGAGATGAGATCCAGTATCTTTTGTAATAACACATAGGCGCAGCTTCCAGGGTCCCCACAAGGGATATGCCTAATTACAAGAGTCAGGGAAGCCCAAAATATGGTGCCTTTTCTGGTATTTATTTACTTATAGTGTGCGTATAGTTCCTCCCAGTCCAGATGCAATTTCTCAATCAGATACCATTTTTACCCTAAGCAATGTTACCTAGTAATACAGTTGACATTCTTACCTTTATCCTAGTGGAACAGAGTTGGAGAGTTAACCAAAGATCACTTTTTCAAGATGGGGAAAAGATTTCTGTGAACACTCTGCTCATAATCTTTCCAGTGTTCTAAAGATAAATACTTTTTCCAGAAAATGACTTTCATTTTTTATTCATTTTTGTTTTATATTTTGGGTTAAAATGTATATATGAGAAATAAGTGTTTAAAAATGAGTTTTTTCCCCTACAAAACTAATCTTTTGACTATTTTGTAAATACCAACATCTTTTTAAAATTAAGCTATAATTCACATTTTATAAAATTCACCTTGCTAAAGTGTGAATTCAGTGACTTTTAGTATACTCAGAAGGTTGTGCAGCCGTTGACCCCTAATTTAGGAACATTCAGGAACATTTTTAGGAACATTTTTCATCACCCCCTTAGCAGTCACTTACCATTCCCCCCATCTCACCCTTCAGCTCCTGGAAATTACTAATCTACTTTCTGTGTTTTTAGGTTTGCTTATTAATAAGTGGCCATTTCATAGAAATTGTATCATACAGTATGTGGCCTTTTTGTGTCTAGCTGCTTTCACTTATAATATTTTCAAGATTCATCTATGTTACAGCATTTATCAGTACCTTGTTCCTTATTTATGGCTGAATAATATCCCATTATAAGGATATACCACATTTTATTTTCTAATTCATCAGTTTATGGGCATTTGGATGAATAATAGTGCTATGAGTGTTCGTGTACAAGTCTTTGTATGGATATATGTTTTCAGTTTTCTTGGGTATGTACCTATAAGTGGAAAAAGAATTAATCGGTTACATGGTAACTGTATGTTTAATACTTTTTTTGTGGTGGACTTTTAAAAACAGCTTTATTGAGGTACAGTTCACCTATTTAGAGTATAAATTTCAGCGTTTTTTAGTATATTCACAAATATGTGCCATTATCACCCCAGTCAATTTTAGAACATTTTTATCACCTTAAAAACAAACCCTGTACCCTTTAACCATTACTATTATCCCCTTATTCCTCCATCCCACTATCTGGCCCCAAGAAACCACTAATCCGCTTTCCATCTCAGTAGATTTCCTGGACATTTTATATGAATAAAATCATATAATATGTAGTCTTTTGTGACTAACTTCTTTTACTTAGCATTATGTTTTCAAGGTATCAGTACTTCTTTCCTTTTCATGGCCAAACAATATTCTATTGTGTTCATGGCCATTTGGGTTATTTCTGCCTTTGGACTATTATGAATAAAGCTGCCATAAACACCCAGGTACAAGCTTTTGTGTGGATATATGTTTTCATTTCTCTTGAATGTATACCTAGAAGTAAAATTGAAGGGTTATAAGGTAACTCTATGGTTGGTCATTAGAGGAATTGATAGACTGTTTTCCAAAGTGGTTGAATAGTTTTACATTCCCAGCAGCAGTGTATGAGTGTTCTGATTTGTCTATATTCTTACCAACACTTACTATCATCCATCTTTTTGGGTGTGAAGTTGTATCTCATTGTGATTTTGTAATGGAGCTTATTGGCCCTTTGTATATCTTCTTTGGAGAAATGTCTACTCAGATCCTTTGCTCATTTAAAAGTTAGGTTATTTGTCTTTTTATTGTTGAGTTGTAAGTGTTCTTTATATGTTCTAGATACTAGACCCTTATCAGATAAAGGATTTTCAAATATTTTCTCCCATTCTGTAGGTAAATACCAGTGTCTTTTAATAAATAAAAATACTTTTGAGAACACTTAATGGCTTAACATTTTAAGGTTTACATTTTGTTACCAAATGAGTCTGAGACTAATTGCCCTTTGGTTCTTCTACACCAAATGAGGCATATAGATTCCCCTCAATTCCAAGCTGTCATTCCTTGGCTGACTACACTGAAAGGAGGCCAGTTGACTCAAGGATTTCTGGAGATTTTCATTTTCTAGGGCCTCACTTTAATGTGACCTTCCTAACACTGTTTCAAGATACACATTGATAGGCCTGAAGTTGTTCTGTCCCCCTACAAGGAAGAGGAGCTAGGCAAAGGCAGATGCCCCCCCACTCCCTACCCAGTGCAGTTGATAATTCATTTTGGGCACACATACATGTGGTGTAGCCTAGGTTCAGGCCAGACCTAGTCTGATCTAGATAGTCAACATGACAAAGCTTCTTGGAATCCCAAACTAAAGAGTATGGATCATGACTTTGGTTTTAAATATTTTGAATTTGATGTAGAAATATGTGGTGATTTAAGTAACCTGATAATGATATGGTTATGGTGCTCAGGAAAGAGATAGAGATTTAAAAATCTCTAGTGTACAATTGGTAGGCAAAAAGAAGGCAAGGGTAGAACACTGGGGAAGGCTGACAGTTAAGGGAAGAGCAGGAGAAATTATTCCATGAGGTGTAGTTGCTGGGTATGTGAATTTCATTTAGTAGGTACTTAATATATAAAAATTAAATTGTACTTTAGCAAACGAAAATTCCTATTTAAAAAATAATTTTAAAGCTAAAGAGCCTTGTATTCTTCTTTATAGATTCACTTGTTCCCAGTTAAACATGCATCTTTTGAAGAAGTATTTCTAAATATCAGCAATTATATTAATTCAGATAAAATTATTCATATGTCAAGTTCACAAGAAAGTCATTCTATTGAGAGAGTAGTTCAACTTTCCTTTAATTAAAAATATTGTTTTTGCCACATTGAGCTTCTACAAAAGAGTAATATATTCTTTTATAGATTGATTTGTCCTCAGTGCAAAAAACATCTTTTGAAGAACTGTTTCCAAATGTCAGCAATTATGTTAATTCAAATGAAATTGTTCCTGTGTCAACTTTGCAAGAAAATTCTTCAAATGAGGTAGTATTTTCAAATTTTCCTTCACTTACTTAAAGAAATAATTACTGTTATATTGGATACTTTGTATATGAGATACTTTAAGAGATCTGTAACTCAGTTGAGGCTAACATCATCTACTTGTGAAGTCAGCTATCAGATATAATTCCAAATAAAGGATATTAGGCTGCCACAGCCAAAACACTTTGCATCATCAGGACCTAGGGATATTAAACAACTAGAGGAAATAGTATTATCCTACTTGAATCCAAAACTGAGTTTTTGTCTGTGCATATAAATTGTAGACATCAACCTAGTTATGTTAGAATGAATATATGGAAGTCCTATGATCCACTAATAAAACTCATAACTCTAAGGGCCATGGGGTGTGGGGTGGGAGTAAAGAAAGAGGATGACCAGAAAAAGAGAGAAGAACAGAAGAGAGAGAGGGAGAGAGAAAGAGACAGAAAGAAGGGGAGAGAGGGCAGACAAGAGAGACAGAGATAAACAATAAGACAAAGAGGCAGAGAGAAAAAGAAATTAAGAGGCAGAATTTAGGGATGGGCAGTGGTTCATTGCAGCTAGATCTTTTCACTGTGACCCTGGAGTGAAGGTGGGGATGCAGGTGGTGAGGAGAAAGCTGGAGATGAGATTGTAGAGATCAACAGGGGCCAGTATCAAAGAGAGTCTTATAATCCATGTTAAGGAATTTGGATTTTTTCTTGAGGTGGGGCTGGCAAGGGATTGTAAACAGGATATATCAAATGTTCTTGTATAAAGTTTATTTTGGCTCCAGGGGTGGAGAGCAGATTGTAAAAGTCTGAGACTAGAGGCATCTTGAGTGATAATCTTCAGAGAAAGAGAGTAAGAGAAAGAAAGAATATAGGGTAAGAGGCTTAAGGATAGTAAAAATAGTTTGAAATAGGAGTTTGGGGGAATGGAAGAATTAGGGAAACCAAGATTATAGCCCATTGTTGAGATCCCAGTTGAAACTGAGAACTATTGCCTTTTTTTTTTTTTTTTTTTTTTTTT